TAATCCGAGAAATAGATGAAATATGTTGAATGGTTACGAATCAGGTCACGGATAGATATTAGAAACTGATAGAAAAGTTCAAAGTTTGACACATCGATAAAGAATGTATACGTTACTTTGTAAACGTAAGGTTGCAGTTACCAACACGAAACATATTCGTATGCGTCTATCATTTGACGGAACAATGGTGTATTAATGCAATACCTGATTACGTCGGTGGTATCTGTGATGAAAGTATAAATCTATCTGTTTCATGGATTTTTGTGTCTAATTTCAAACTTCACACACAAACGCGCGCGTGCGCACATCAAATGAAAAAGAAAAATAATAAAAAGTTATTCCATTTGAATTATAGACAAAAAGAAAGAAAAATTATAATATAAATTTAATTGATTACAGTACAGAGTACAAGTATAATAATAATTATTATCATTTATCAGAGATAATTTATTAAGAAATTTTCTTTACTTCTAAGATTATCTATCTAATCTTTAATTTCTAAAAAATTTACATATTAAATACAGAATAATAGAATAATAAAGAAAATGTATCAATTTAAAGAAAATAACATACATATACATATATATACAATGCAATCTTTAATTTCTAAAATTTACATATTAAATACAGAATAATAGAATAATAAAGAAAATGTATCAATTTAAAGAAAATAACATATATATATATATATACAATGCAATAAATAATTTAACACAACAATTCAATGTATATAATATATAATGTGGATTTAATTAAAAGAAAGTTAATTATAATTTATTGAACATATCACCACATCATAATATAATTATTATTCTAGATAATCTTTAATCTAGACTTATATAAAAAGAGAGAATAAGATATATAATATAATACAAATAATTTAATATAATTAAAATAAAATTGACAATAATATAAAATGAAACAGTTGAATTAATAATTAATTTCATATTAAGCAATAACGTGTTAACGAATTTGTAAACTTGAAATGAATATAATTCATTCATGAAGTATACTCTTTTCAACACTTTAGTATACTTAAAACTCGTATAGATTAGATGAATACGAGGGATACGAGTCGCAAATTAATCGTACACGCGTTAACTTTCGATAGTCAAAGGTAAGATATGCCACGACGAAACACCTGTTCGCGTTCTTATGAATTCAACCTGTGGTAGAAACAAACATAGAAAAAGAAAGAGAAAGAGGAAGAAAGGAAAAAAGGATAAATAAACAGATATCTACTACTATCTCGTAACGTGTTCGACCGTAATCCTTTTTTCTTCTTTTCTTTTTGTTTTTTTTTTCTTTTTTTTTATTTTCTACTTTTTCTCTCCTCTAATACAAGGGGAATAGATAGAGTAGAAAATACGAAGAAGAAAATATTTCACTGGTCTATGGGGTTTGCAATCGTGACTTACACTTTATATCTTGTGCATTCGCGTATATACGTACGTAAGTACGATTTCTTTTTATTAAAACAAGATATCACAATGTATGCATTTATGTATCGTTTTTAAACGCTTCAAAATAAACGGCTTAGAACACGAACATAGATATATTATAAAAACATATCTTCTCTCTCTCTCTCTCTCTCTCTCTCTCATATTATAAATCGTTATATTATATTTATTATTTGATAACTGAACAATTTAGAAAGAGATATTTCTCTTCTTGTTTGTGTAAAAAAAAAAAAAACATACAAAGATATAAATATGTGATATACTTTATTATACGTGATATTTTTTGTGTAACACAAAAAAATATATATTTGATTAATAATTATATTGTTGTATTCCCTATATCGCACATCGTTACGGATCAAACTTCAAGTGGCTTAAATGAACAATTTTGTAGAGCGCAACCGTAAGAGAGAAACTTTGTAGAGCGCACAATGTTATTTGCTGAATCATCTTCGATGCATAATTTTCATTCTAACAATTTTTAAACAGATTTTTTTCTTTTTCGTCATACTCGTTAGTTATTATTCTCAACCATGATTAATGATATATATTTATATATATATATATGAAAAATTGAAATATTCTGATTAATACGTTTATTTAAAGGCCAGGTGTTCGAGCTATAGATATTTATCATTTCGATATTGTAAAAAAAAAAAGGAAGAAAAAACGGGAAAAAAAGAATTATAGTTGTTGAACAAGACAGATTGAGATATAAATTAACATTTATAAAACTTACCGCGAGACCGGTTTTTTTTTTTTTTATTATATTCAGACTAAAAAAAAAAGATATTTGCACAAAAATTGTCGATTCCACCAATATGCGTGTGCTTTTTTTTCCGTTCTCGATTAAATTTACAATTATAATTAGTGGAAGATTTTGTTCTTCATTTCTTTTTTTTTAAAGTAAAAAGAAAAAACAACTGAAGTCAACATTTAAATTAAAAACACCATTGAAACTTTTACAACGAGGTTACCGTATATTCGTTGGATTAATTAGTTCATATACCGAGAATGAACAAGAAGCAGAAGAAGAAGAAGAAGAAGAAAAATAGGAGAAAAAAAAAAAAAGAAAAAGAAAAAGGAATAGGGAATTGAAGGAAGCACCGTGATCGTGATTTTCTCAAGATAAATAGGCAAATTGTTACAAACCGTGAGCCACGAAACCGGCCAGCATTTTAAACGACGTTGCTCGTGACGCGCCTTTAATTCGTTTCTCTTAAGAAGAGCAACTAGCGTGTTCGGTTCCCTATCAATTATGTAGTAGGTCGTTCTTGGGTACCGAACATTCATTATGGGAAAACTTTCGCAATGTGTGTGTATGCGTTACTTCGATTTATGGACCTTCCAGAGTTTCATGGATCGGTAATACTCTTCTGCTTAGAATGGAATTATCACGAAAGACGATCTAACGTGTTCTTCTTCTTCATCTTGTTGTTGTTGTTGTTGTTGTTGTTATTATTTATTTATTTTTCTTCTATTTCTCTTTGGTCGAGAACGTAAAAGGAAAAAGAAAAAAAAAAGCCCCATAGATATGCTTCTACAAGAAATTATAGAGAATTAATACTTCTCTCTCTCTCTTTTGATGATTATGAACAAACTTTTATTAGAAATATCATTTATTTAGTAATGGATTTGATAAGACTGATTTATGGTTTACCATCTTCCTCCTTTCATTTTCACTATTTTGTACGTTGAATTTTTGTTATATACGTTTTTACTGTGTGAGTTCTTTCAATTATATATTTCTTTTTTTTTGTCGTTCGTTTCTATTATATATATATATATATATATATATTTGTTAATGATGTTATTGAATATTTATGTAGATTTTATCTTTCTCACGATTGAATATATATATATATTAATATTATTCGCGTGTTTGTTATTAAATGTATATTTTTTGGATTTTAATTTTAAACGACAAATTTATTCTTAGAAAGTTTTGTTTATATTAATCATTCAGGTATTGAAATTATATGAAATTTTCTAATACGCGATTTAATTATGATACTTTCGCGAAGAAAATTCTATGATCATTGAAAAATCATTTTGTCGAAGAATGAATATTTTAAGTTTCCTTTTTGTAATACAAATCATTCGAAAAACTTTCTAATTAGTATTTTAATTTTATTTTTTTTTTTTTTCACAAAAAAATATTTCCGTGTTAAGCGAATGTATTTCAAAACAATCGAATTTATATCGTGTATTTATTTGCAACAAACATCGAACAATAATTCATTTATATATTGTACATTTCTAAAACAATGTTATTGGATATCCCACCTCTTCCCTCTCCTCCCCTTCTTTCCTCAAAGTAGAGAATTTTCTAAACATCGAAAGAAATCATTCGAAAGTTTCTAATGTTAAACGATATTCAAGATATTTATTCCTAATTCCAAGTAACCAAGAGAAAGATAGAAAATAACCAGAGAAAGACTATTCAAGCAATAAGATAAGTATTTCCTGACAGTATAACGGCAACTATTAGTAACGTAGACCTTGTTCACGTCCAGTTGAGAATTTCTTGTGTATTTTCTGGCCAGTATACACGCCTATATTGAAAAGAAATCGATTACAACGGGGGCCACCGTTGATCTTCCGTACTTTTAGTACAAAATCTACCAACAGGTTGAGTTTACCCATTGACAGCTGCAAATGTACGCATACACACACAAATACATATATATACAAATATAAATACATAAACTCAAAGAAGAGAGAACACGTTTCGAATCGCCGAGATTTCTAGTCACGCACACGCCCTCGCAATTTTCCACCCACGCAAAAACGCCCGACTCGTGTATTCGACCTCCGATCGAATAATTTCGCGTTAGGGTTTATCCGGCCAATTAAGCGACGCAATTAAAGTTCTTAACTTTAATTGGATGCTTCTTCCATCGAAGAACACTAACCTTATATTCCTTTATTTTTCCTTCATTCTTTTACTATAAACCATATTATCTCATTTCCTAAACAATTTTCTTTAACAATATATCAATTGAACATACAACAATTCCAATACACATTTTTTCACATTTCTTTAAATAATACACGGAATCTCATGTATATCTTATCTTTACACGTTGATTAATTATATAATGACAACATTGCAGATAATTCATTAAACATCGGGATAGTACATTAGATGATCATTATTGATTTATGATTTAGTATAAGAAAAATAAAAAATAAAAAAAGAAATGAATAAATAAATAAATAAATAAATAGGAACGATAGAATAAAGGTAATAAATTTACGACCTTGTCTCATAAGTATGATTATTGAGAAAAAATATCTTTAAACTCGTAAATAGAACCGACTTAAAACGCCTCTTTCTCCACCTCCTCCTCCTCCTCCTCCTCCTCCTCCTCCTCCTCCTCCTCCTCCTCTTCTTGCGTTAGACTAATCTTTCTTTCTCTTTCTTTTTAACATACATACTTACGTACAGACATAAGTATGTATATTAACATGTAATAACAACTTACACGATATACCTACGCGAGTTTTCATCCGCAATAACCGACGCTCCTGTTGCAGGTAATCACCCAAGCATGGAGAAATAGCGTCGGCTGACACAAAGAAGGGGAGAGAAAAAACGGAGCGTTACGTGGAGGGATGAAAGAAGAAAGAGGAGGAGGAAGAGGAGGAGGAGAAGAGGATGCTGTGGCGGAGAACAGCAATGAGAAATATAGAAAAAGATAGAGAGAGAAAAAAAGGTGAGAGAAAGAGTAAAATATATATATATATATATGTGTGTGTGTGTATATATAAGAAGGATTATCTATAGATGAAAATTTGTTTAACCGAAGTTTAATTTAAATGAAGAAATTAAAGATGTTCTTAACGGTATTGGAACTTTAGTCGAGTCAAAGATATCACAAGTCGGATGTTCCTAAGAGTTTAAACTGGTGGGGGTAACGCGTATGTAGGTCTCGCTCGATGATTGGTTGACTCGAGTTGGCGGGTAGGACAGACAGTATTGCTGTCTACCAAGGCTCCTGGACTCACCTGTTGCACCTGCTTCGACGTGGTCACACTCCGGTAGTTCTCGTCAGGATTTTCAGGAAGCTTTTTAGTTTTTTTTTTTTTTTTTCTTTTTACACCTCAGTAATACTTTATTTTAACTGTCTTTTTTCTTTTTTTTTTCTTCTTCTTCTTCTTTTTTGTTTTTATTTTTATTCGTAACAAAAATATTAAAACGAGTGCAGAGAGTCTCGTTTGTTTTTCTTTCGTTTCGTGTTGTTTTATCGTAAAAGATTTTTCTTTTTAATTTTATTCGTCAACTTTTTTTAACGCGAACAATGTTGATTTGTCTTTTTTTCTTTTTCTAATATCGTTGTTGTTGTTGTTGATATTATACATTTAAATCGTTAACGATAATATTATAATCGACACGTGGAGAAATTTTCATCATACTATTTGCACTTTTAATTCAAGATGTTATTTTTTTTTGTCGACTTCATTGTATTCTCAATGAGTCTCTTCTTGACATAGTAATTACCTCCCGTTTCTCGTCCCACTTGACAACTTCACGTTATGATTATAAGCTCTAATTAATGTCTAGCTAGTTAATTTATCTAAAATCCTAAGGCCGAAGTATAGTAACGACCTTTCGTGTTAACGAGATGAATGATAATTAATCTTGTTAATAATTATTTTATTACCTACTTTCGTTTTACGAATAATCGTGTTTATATTGTCTTCGATATTTTTATTAACAATCATTTATTTAATTAAATTATACACACATATACATAGATTAATAATGCATACGTAAGAAATATAATAGATGCGTGTATAATACAAAAAAATACACACACACACACATACGTATATTTAAAGGTATTTGTATTTATACGATTTCGAAAAGAAAATTGTAGAAATATTGTTTTTTCTTCTTCTTCTTCTTCTTCTTCTTCTTCATTTGATCGAGAGAAAAAAAAACTAAATCAGTAATGAAGCTCTCCCAATCGTGCGTAATTAAAGCGCACGGGAGTACACTCACGTGTTCCACATTTCTTGCTACTACTCTTAACGGTTTTCAAATGTATTCTTATTACGTATGCGCGTCAATTAATTTTAATCTGCTTACTTATTTAAATATAGAAATCGAGTTCATTATTCTCGATCATTAAAATCCATTATTTCAAATTCGATCAAAACTTCATTGTTTTTGTTATTCTTTCCTTTTTGCTCTTTTATTTCTTTTCCAATTGTTTTTTTTTTGTTTAACCATTCGTTCTATTTCTATTTTTTTCGTTTCGTTTTAATTTTTATTCTATTAGTAATACACGGATGATTTATTCTTCTTATTATTATAATTTGAAATTATTTTGTTTTTATATTATTTTCTCTATTTTGTTTTTTTTTTTTTTACCAGCTGATATCGATCATCCCGAGTCCGTGAGAAACTGGAGTAAAAAATTCGTGAGAATATATCTCTCTTTTAAATACTTATATCTCATATAGGTATGTTCGATCGTTAACGTGCCTTATGCGATAAAGATCTTAAGAAAGTATGCAAGAGAAAGAGAAAATATATATATATA